GAATAGAACTTGAGTCGCGCCGCGGTGCATAAAACCGGCCTTAGTCACGGAGAAAAACGAATGTGCACGAGTAACGCCGAGAATGACCGATGCTGTCGATGCCGATGCTATCCAATCCATGCTGTAGTACAGTTACAGTATTATACCGAGCGAATTGGGAAGAAAACTTAGGTCAAAATTATTACAATCTTTCATATTTTTTACTTAACTCCAAAAGTAAAGAATTTTTAAGTTTGTGTCAAATAACCTAGATAGCTGGCTGTTCTGCTGTTGTATAGTACATTACATACATACGCACCTAGTATTCAAATATAAACTAGCCTAGAATCTAGAATTAATACATTTTAAATGATTTAACTTTGTTTTTTGTAAAATATATATATTATTTTTTATCTTCAATTTATGATCTGCTGTAAAGTAATCTTCGATGGAAAAAAACGGGTACCAGAGTTGCACCAGCCCCACCCTTGTGGGGGCCATAACATGTGTGTAGATTTTCCCTGCGATGCACATATGAGCTGAGAAAAAAAAGGGTTTTCAATAAGCATGCTTGTGTCTATTAATATAAAGAATTAGCCCCATGTTAAATCTCCATAAGACAAGTTTAATTTACATTTTTGACCCAATTAATTAACATAAATATTTTCAAAATATATAAAGTCTGCACATATAGGACCGATAACCTTTCTTTTGATACAACCCGCATGTAATTCGGTCCAATAGTATGGTCAGGCTAGCTGTCATATGTTTTGAAAACTTTTTTTTTATTTATTAGATAATGACCATTCATTGTCAACACTAACACCGCCAGTGAAGAGTTAATTGTACGTCTTTAGAAAATCACGAAGTACAGCTGATGCAGTAGGTCTAGTTGAAAAAATGTATGATGTTTTTGAGAACAAGGGCTTTGCTTGGGCCACTTTTGTCACCTAAGCAAGGCCTTTGATTGTGTGGATCATGGCCTACTCTTGGACAAGCTGCAGCACTATGGTGTAGATGGGGTGGGGTGGCTCTAAGCCTTCTCAGTTCATACCTCTCAAATAGGAGGCAAGTGGTCTGTGTGGAGGGTGAGCGATCTGCTATACTGGGGGTGGTATGTGGGGTCCCCCAAGGGTCCATTTTGGGACCATTTCTTTTTTAGTGACCATTAATGATCTGCTCAGTAATGTCCTTTGTAGTACCTACTTATATGCAGATGATTCAACCTTTTTGTCATGTGGACCTGATATAGAGCAGTTTTCTGAAATGAAATGAAATGTTTTATGGTAGTTCAAGTAAAATCCAGGAAGTATTGTTAGGTATTACAAAAAAAGGTTATCAGAATTGTTATGAAGACTGATGGATTAGCACACTACAAACCACTATTTAGAGAGTTTCAGGTGTCATGACAACAGTAAATTTGTATATTTTCCAACTTTTATTGTTTACCCACAAAAATAGGGACAATTATGATTGTAGAAATAATATACATAGATTTAGCACTAGAAACTGTATTAAAATAAATGTACCACAAGTTCGTTTGGAAAAAACTAGGTCCGGACACATTTTTATGGGCATTAGGCTTTATTGATTACCAACGGCTGTGACAAGATTTTAAGAGAAAAGTGCATTCATTCTTAATAAGTAACCCATTCTATAATGTAAAAGAATAGGCCTACTTTGATTTGCCTGATAATTTATTTAATTAAATAGCATAGAGCATTATATAGACATATTTTTCTAACTTTTTTGCAATCTCTCGCCATGTACACTGTATTATTGTATTTTTATATTTCATTGAACCTCAGTCTTATATTATGTCTTATATTATGTAGGCTTACTTAGGTATTCATTGAATATGTGACGCATACAATTGTATGAAAACAACTTGACTTGTCCATGCATGTAAAAATGTAAAAATAACAAATAAACGTCTTATGTCTTATGGTCAGGCTAGCTGTCATAAGTTTTGCACAAGTTTTTTAATTATTAGGATTCTGTGTTTGCTGGTTAAAGCAGTTTGATTAACATAGTTTGTTAGCAAATTTCCCTATGGGGAAGTAGCTATTACGTATTACCGTAGGTGGCATGGTAAGACCTAGGCCCGGTACCGATTTACTTTTTCATTTTGATGACGCCAGAGGCCAAAAACACCATTCGTTCCGTAATAATAATATAAATAATACAGTATAACAATTTGAACGAATGGTGTTTTTGGCCTCCGTAGATTATGTAGATTTAGATATACATTTATGGATATATATATATACAGACACTTATATAAATATATGTGTGTCTGTGCACGCCATAACTTGAGTAATTTTTGTCCGATTTTGATGAAATTTGGTTTAAAGGTGTGAGGCGGGATAAACTTGAATGAGTTCACAAATCAGCATGATCAGACCATGGGAACGGGGTTTTATAGAGTAAAAATTGGTTTTTCTAATTTTTGACCCTCAAAACACAAAATTTCCCAATTTCTCTCCATACCTTTTTAAAGAGCTTAAAAAAACAAATAATTTAGTATACACAAGTGTTTTTGTACGGTTATTGGTAACGGATAAAATTCAAACAATTTTAAATTAAAAGTTCCCATGTTATCTTTATGGAGAATATTGTAAAATGTTCTAGATTGCTTTTTCATGGATATATTTTGATCAAACTTGGCAATTTCATTTATTTTATACTAAGCTATTAATATTTTACTAAAAAACACACTTTATTAGTTTCCTTGTAACAGCAAACCTAGGTACTCGTTAAACTTAAATGTTATTTGAATAGATTTAATTGAAAATCAATTCAGGAAAATTTAAATTCGCTTAGTCTGGCAGGTTTGCTGCGGCAGGGGTATTTTAATTTCTATTTGCATGGATCAATATTATTTGTTATGTTCATAAAAACATTTAGTTGAAATCAGCGCAAAGTTGTTATTGAAAAAGACTTGTAGAATATGGTAGTTATAAGAAAATTTATTTTAATCTTACAATTTACAGGATTTTCTATTGACTATATGGTAACAGAATTTGCATTTCATGTTGCTTGAATCAGTCATTTCAAACTGCACAATACCTTCCTAATCACATTTCGATAAGTTTATTTATAAAAGTATAATTTTCGTAAATAAAAAAATCAAATGATTTGAAAAAGTCGTTTTTGTATTTTCACAGACGTTTTCTCTCCAAAAACATCAATTTAAACTTATGGTGTCTACTTTGCACTCTTTGAGAGCCACATTAGATTAGGAATCATAGCTTGGGGATCTGCAGCAGTATACCAAATAAAAAAAAATTCTCTCATTACAGAAAAAGGCTATATAACCATAGAAACCATCCCAATAACTCCAGGGCAACCCCAAACCTTTCTTAATATCAAACGATTCCATGTCCCTACAGGGTGAATCAGACCACCTGTACTCATATTTTAACAGTATATACAGCCGCTTGTGTAACTCACTGAACAGGGGTACAAGTGTTTATCCAATTCTAGATTAGCTAGGGATCTGAAACTTTTTGTGGAGGTCCGTCTCGGTCCCAAACCATCCAGTAAATCCAAAAAAGTTACATGATCTAATTACAACCCCTCCCAAAAAAATTCCCTTAAATCCCTCTTTTTTGAGTAAAACAATTTTTTTACCGGTTATAGCTCAAAACAAAAACCGTAAGAACTAGCAAAGATTTGCAAGGAAAGAATTCTCATAGTCAGGAATTAAATTTTCTACAAGACACTCTTAGGCATTTAAAAAAAATCTCACTCCAACTTCAAAAAACGCCCTACTTCTAAAATTTGTAATGTCTTGGATCTTCAACGTGTTTTTTTTTTATTTTTTTTTATTACTTTTCGGACATATATTTGTACTTTTAATGATCCCAACATTGAAATAAAAGTGCCTTAAATGACATTTTAAAATTGTAACCCAATAAACAAATTTTAAATGGTGGATTTCCAATAAAAAAAGGTTGTTTTTTAACGCTTGTTGGGCCAACCTTTGTGTACAGGTGGTCTGATTCACCCTGTATATTCAAGAAACAATCAAATTCCAAGCCATAAGAAACCAATGTCACAAGTTGTCATGGATATGACATCAAAAGTTGTCTTTTCATATCTATGACAGTAAATACAATTATTCATATTCTGTTGGTACTGTAACAGATTAATAGAATAAGTTTAGGGGGCATGAATTGATCTTTCTGTGGAATTCCTTCTAGTCGTGTTGGCAACACTGGTCACTATATCTTAATAATAAAGTGAGTTTTGTATAGCTTTTCATCATGATACTGAAATAAGATAAATTAAATGTATTACTGTCAAGTTAAAAGTAATTTCGTATTACAAATTTTTAATGTCGTGCATTTTGAAAAAAAAAATCCATCGTTTGATCTGGCTGGTTCGATCCTGAGCGAGTAGCATCTTGATGGTTCAAAACTGGACCTACCTGTACTTGATCATTGGCCTGGCAAAAAACCGATCTTAGTCAAACATAGCTACACATATCATCTCACTCAATGTCTTAAAGAATTGAATTGAACCTATGGTTTATTCTCTCTGAGTGTGAAAAACTAAGGATATCACATACTTTGATAAATATAAGACTTTATTTTGTGATATTATATTCACACGGCTTTAATTATATCAAAAGTGTTACAGTATCTACATTTTGGTTTATTTACCTGGAGTTTTATTTTGACAAATTAAATGTCTTCAGTGTTTTCACTAAACCGCCTTTAAAGGCAGCCAAGGAGCAAAATTTGCAGGGAGTGAGAGGTCGAGTCGAGGTTTGCCACACCATTAAACACATTCTCTTAATAATCTTGAATCTCAATTAAGTTACAAGAAAAAATATGAATACTTTAACTTGGAATTTGCACAAATTATATGGTTATCCTGGTTTTCTAAGATTAATTTACAAATTTTACAATCATAGAAATTTTTCAAAGTTAATTGAGTATTCAGCTTAGTAGAATTAATTTAGGGACAAGTCCAAGGAACTTCAAATTTAAAGGATAAATAAAAACACTGACATCTTCTATGGGCTTATTTCATTTATTCAGTTTCCTACTTGTACAAAATAGATCACATTATTAGTGTGAAATGAGGCTTTTGTAAGGGAGACGAATGTAGATAACAATGGAAAGATAATCAAATTTGTAGGACTGCTGGGCTAAGATATTTACACACCTAGATCTCAGGCAGGCGGACACCTACAAAACATATTTACAATACTCCTATGTTAACTTGCTATCTGTCCATATATCATTAAGAACAAAATGTTTAAACACATTCAAAGTATATCTTAATGGATGACTGCATGATTATTTACAGTTTTTTGTACGAAAATTCTTGATTCAGTTGGCTTTTGGCATTTTGGTAATTTATTACAATATTATACACATATCTCTGTTTAGTTATTAGGCTAAATATACATCATAGTTCAATAGACTTATTGAGAAATAAATAAGAGGGATTATGTTCATCAATTGATTGAAGAGTGAGTTAATCGCGCCTGGCTCTTCTCTTTGTCTTCCACTATTGACTTTTAGATACTGAGGATATCCCATCTATATGGACCAGCATCTTAATTCAAAACACACTTTGTTGAATGAGCCAATCACAGAGAGCAGTAACATCTAGTTATATTTATTCTGTTAGTTTTTCTTACAGAGATAGTTGATGTGTCAAAAAAGATGCTACCAGATTGACCAGTGCACTCTGCCGTTGGCTCAACTCACTTAAGGATGGTTTGTCTAGTTCTACCAACCAATAGTCAAAGCTTCCATTTAATAACATTTTACAAAATATAATATAATTAAATTTAGAATTCATCCTCTTGTGTACAATTCGATCTCATTATTGCTTAAAACAATCGGTGAAAGACAAATTGAAATAAAATCATTATGTTAAAGCCAAATTTAATTCTTATCAAATTGCTCAGTTAATTGTATCAAGAAAAACAAAAACATAAAAAAATTATTGTATATCGCAAGTGTTTAACTTTTTCAATTTAAAATATACAAAAATACTTTTACGCCACACTACACTGTTTTAACAGACTTCCCACGCAAGGATTTAGTCTAGAAAACACAGCTGTTTGCCGCCAGCTTAATCAAATGGGGTTTCATTACGTACTACTGTACTGTAATGAGTTTTACCGGACACCAATCAGCTGATTATATTTGACAATGAGTGATTAAAAAGTAAAACATAACCTCTCTTAGGGTAGTAGTGATTGTTCGTAATTTAGTCAGTAAGAATATATAAGGATTTGTACAGTTTTTTTATCGTTACGTTAGCTTAGAGTAGAATGGCGTAAAATATCGTACGCCACTCGTCCAAAATGTGTTTACCGGACCCGTATGGTAATCCCGCACTCGACTTCGTCTTGCACGGGAACGACCACAATCGTCCAGTAAAAACCTATTTTCTGGACTAGTAACGTAATATAGTATTATGCAGATAAATCATAAAATTGATTACTTTTTAATAAAACAAAATTAAAAAAAAAAACCCTTAGGCATCAGAGGCAACCTAGAGAAAAAAATATAAATGCTAAGCAACAGATATTGGTTTATAATCAAATAAATTTCCGATTCTCCAAAGACATCTACCACTGGAAAACTAACAACGGTTTATATAACAGAGGCAATGCCATTATTTTTATGCTGGTATCATGCAACAAATGGTATAGTTTTCAAATGGTATTCATGCTGGTATGCTGGCATCATGCAATTTTTCTCATGCCATTCAATATCTGATCACTGTAGAGTACACCAGGTTCTTTATTAATAATGATTTTTTTTTCGGAACAATTACTTTAATTGATAGTCCCAAACAAAAACAGAGAAGGCTATGAGATTTTTTTAAGTGTAAGTAAGATTTATCACACGTTATAAGGATATACAGGCTAGGTTACTTTAATCCAGGGATCCATTTTGTATAGCTGTTATAGAGTTGACATTTGGTGGATTATAGTTAGCAACTGCTTAGGGACTATAGGCCTTGACAGACAAAACAAATGTTAATGGTAAAATGATGATATTATCACGGTATCTAGAAAAGTACTTCAACAACTGTCGGTAGTTAATAGTCTATAGGTGAATCAATTTTTTAACTAATCTACATCATCATAGTTCCTTAAGATCGAGAAAATTGTCCTTGCCTGAGTGCAGCTGCAGGATTCAAGCCCGAACCTCTAGCTCAACTACTGGGTGTAAGCAACTAAACGTTAACTTTTTTTAGGCAACCCATAAAAAGAGTAAACATTTTTTTTTAATCTTAAGAGATTGACATTTAGAAAGAGACACAAATTAGAGCAGTTTACTAAACAAATTCGTAGCTAAAAACTTTCCTTTAGGACCTTAATTAATTTATTGTAAAGAATTTTACGCCACACTACACTATTTTGACGAACTTCCCACGCAAGGATTTAGTCCAGAAAACAGCTGTTTGCCACCAGCTTAATCAAATGGGGGTTCATTACGTACTACTGTACTGTAACGAGTTTTACCGGACACCAAACAGCTGATTATACTGTATTTGGCAATGAGTGGTACTAAACAAAAACATAACCTCTCTTAGAGGTTATGACTAGCGATTGTTAGTCCTTTAGTCGGTGGTATATATAAAGATTTGTATAGATTTAGTAGTATGGCATAAAATATCGTACGTCACTCGTCCAAATTTTGTTTACCGGACTCATATGGTAATCCTGTAATAGACTTCTGTCTCGCATGGGAACGACCACACTCGTCCGGTAAACACCTATTTTCAGGACTAGTAACGTAATATACTATTACCACTTCATTTCCATTATTATGTAATCAACAATGCATGAAGAAACTAATTGGAATCATCTAGTGTTTTGTGCAATTTAAAAGCCAGATTTCTTTCATGATTTAGCAACGTTGGTTTACTCAATCTATGACACCCTAGATACAAATAGATGTTTTTGAATGATTAAAAAGTATCTATCTATAATGGATGAATCAAAAAACAGTTTGTCTTGTTTTGATTGCAACATTAAAAGTGGGGGTCTGTTGGTATATTGTATTAATCCATTTGACAAATATGAACTTTTAATTGTCCATAAAAGGAATACAAAACAGATACCCATAAAACAAAATTGTAATATCTTCACTTCTTAGAGAAAGATCCACTAACCTGTAAGACGTATAAACTAAATTAAAAGAAACTACAAAACACTAGTTTTGCATGCTTTATTTGAACAACACTAGATAATTATCTTATTATGATTGTGGGTGGTGTTAAATTTTCACCAGGGTAACAGTATTTTTGTTTTTGGAAAACAAAGCTAAAGATACTAATATTAATACAAAAAGACATGTCAAATAGCTTAATTATTAATAGTTGACTTTGTCTTAAGTTTTACAATATTAACATCTTTGATTATTTGATAAAAGTCCTTTTAAAACGGCAAACACAAAATAGTTTAACCAACAACATTAACGCCTAAGACTCTGCCTACCTGCAACTGAAAGTGTGATATAGTTAATTTACCTAAGTAGTTACAAAATATTAAAATTATAGATTTATTACTATGATTAAATATCATAACAGTAACTGAACATTATCTTTCTAACCAACAAAAAAAAACTAACACTCAATAACCGATCCGAAGCGATCATAACAAAATAATAAGCATACAAAATGTACATCGGTTAAAAATTACAGTGCCTGCTTAAGTGGGACAGTCAATCTCGGACAGAAGCCAGTTCCTTCATTTCAGACACGTTTAACAAATGATTTGTAACATACTCATGAGCAGGAAACGATAATTTGAATATCATTAATACAGTTGACACTTATATGACTAGTAAGCAGGCATTTAACCAAGAGATGGGAAGTCATGCTCATCATCAACTTTTGGAGCACTTTGACGATTCTGTTGTTGACGCTGAGCGTAAGTACCGGGGTTCTGGTCTCTGTCACGCTCACGGTCTCGGCTCTGAAACATGGATAGCAATAAAGAGGTGTACCAGATTACAGTGGAATGCTCAAGTACTGGAACTGAGAATCGATGGTGAAATGTTGGTACCAATACCTTCGGTAGTATTTTTATTTACTCATTTACAAAATTCAAATTTTCAAACATGTTAATTATTTTTCACTTAACCCTTTGAGGTCAAATTTATTTTTTATTTTTCGGCGATTGCCATTTTAGCAGTTGAGTAAATGGCGCCCGGCGACCTATACTTGCCAATCAACCGCAAAGATAAACTTTATTGATTTTTTTTCCTGAGTATGGTTGCCATTTTTGAGCAGTCGGGAAAATGGCGGGCGGCGACCTATACTCGCCATTCGACCACAAAGGGTTAAGGCTATTTATTTCAGTGTTACAGCAGAGTCTTGGTTATCCGACCTTCCTCGGCAATATTTGATTTAACTCACAGTACTGGCTGTCGCGCGAGGTAGTCCGTTTTGCCAGTCCCGACTGTACGCAGCTACTATACCATATATAATTGGAGTTATATAGTAATAGTTTCTCTAAATGATTTATTTTTCATGCAGTGCTTAAAATGAAAAATCTAACAACAGATTATATGCACCTTGTTAGCGATGGGGCGGGAACTACGCGGCCCTCCGAAGGTACCACCACCACCAGCTGCCTCCCTGTCAGCATCTCGAGGCTGAAAGAAAAACATATCAATGTATACTACAGATAGAAAATCTAAATATTCATATAAAAATGTTGCCGATTACCAGCGAAACCACAAGTTGAGAAATCACAAAGTAAAAGACAGGAGTGGCAAAAAAAGTTCTCTTGATGTACTTGCTACGATGTATCAGAAATCAGAAATCTTTATTCACTATTGATCATATTACATGAAATAGGCTTCGTCATACAATATAGGCTAAATCTATCATAATACTAAGGAAAAGAAAATCTACACATATAACAATCATAAACCTATATAATACTACTGACAATAACAACATTTCTTGGTCAATTCTATCTACAAATTAATCTAGGATCACAGGACAGTCTAAAAACTCAGTTAAACGATAAAACGGATTTTTTAATAGCCAATCGTGAATTTTCTTCTTGAAAACATTGACTGGTGCAGTTCTAGCATATGAAGGAAGTTTATTAAAAAATCTAATGCAGTTAATTTTGTGAGATGACCCAGTTTTGGCTAATCTTTGCATTGGGATATCAAGTCTCACCTTCCCTCTTGTGTTGTGGTTGTGTATGCTCTCTATTGTGACAAATTCTTGTAAGCTCATTTTGATGTGCATTAATGAGCATAGAATATACAAATTTACAACAGTGAGTATTTTAAGTTTAATAAATAATGGACGACAGTGCAATTATACAACACAAGAATAGCACTCAATTTCTATTCTATATAGGCATGGTCATATAACACTAGAGTTATCAGATAACACAAACCATTTGGTACAGATGGTAACCTGGGAGTGAGATGAGGTACATGCAAAGATGGGATTGTTTTTGGTCGTGGAGGAGGTGGCATGCCGCAATCGATGCGAGAAACACAGCTTTTGGACTTGGGTTTAATCTGACTGTGAGGGGATTTAAAATATTGAAATATCGGGATATTCGATTCAAAATTTCTAAATAGGTTCGAATTGAATATTTAAATGATCAACCTACCATTTAAAAGTAGGTTATAATGAATTATTATTCCAAATTAAATAGGGATGGACGGGTCCCGAAATTTCGGGAAATTTTCGGGAAAAAAATATTCCCGATTTTCGGGACGGGATTACATTTGATTCGGGAATTTTTCGGGACGGGATTTGATCCAATCGTCGGCGATTTTGCCGCTTCGCGAGTGACGATGACGCCGCTATCACGAGAGATGTTCACGATAGTTCCGCCAACGCAGGAGGCGAAGTCATTTCGACGATCGCGCCGTGACCGCGGAGTCGTACCGACGATCCCGCCGTAACTGTGAGTCATACCGACGATCGCGCCGTGACCAAGAGTGATACCGACAATCGCGCCATGACCGCGGAGTCATAACGACGATCGCGCCGTGACTGCGGAATCATACTAACGATCACGCCATGACCGCGGAGTCATACCGACGATCATGCTGTGACCGCAGAGTCATAAAGACGATCGCGCCGTGACGGCAGAGTCATACCGACAATCACGCCGTGACCGCGGAGTCATACCGACGATCACGCCGTGACCGCGAGTCATACCGACGATCACGCCGTGACCACGCGTGATACCGACGATCATGCCGTGACCGCAGAGTCAACCGACGTCACGCCGTGACCGCGGAGTCATACAGACGATGGCGCCGTGACCGCGGAGTCATACCGACGATCATCCCATGACCGCGAGTCATACCGACGATCACGCCGTGACCGCGGAGTCATACAGACAATAGTGCCGTGACCGCGGAGTCATACAGACGATCGTGCCGTGACCGCCGAGTCATTTTCAACGATCGCGCCGTGACTGCGGAATCATACCAACGATCATGCCGTGACGGCGGAGTCAAAAAGACGATCGCGCCGTGACGGCAGAGTCATACCGACCATTACGCCGTGACCGCGAGTCATACCGACGATCATGCCGTGGCCGTGAGTCATACCGACGATCGTGCCGTGACCGCGGAATCATACCGATGATCACGCCGTGACCGCGGATAGAGTAATTTAATCCCGTCCATCCGTAAAATTAAATGATTATTTATATTGTTTCATAGTTCTAAAAAGTATATTAAATAAAAAATAAAGTCCTACTACGAGTTTACTGTCAAGAATACGTAAGATCGGCAGAATAGAATACAAACAACTGACACGAGTGAAACAACACGACACGGGCACTGGCGCAGCAGCTCAGGTAAGTCGAGTCGAATCCAACGAATCCTAGGAAAAGATTCGGATTCAAGATTTGATTAACGAGATTCGAGAGTCGTCTTAGATGAATATTATTTTAATAGGGATAGGCCGATAAAAAAATTTCTCGATTCAATATCAGTTCTGAAATATTACTCTCGATTCTCGTCATTCTCGATACCGATTCCATATAAAAACTCATATCTTTAAGGAAGTTGCCATGGTCAATGTTTTGTTGTTAATTTAAATTCTGAATCAGACAACCAGCGTAGTTCATGCCGGCCCAAAATTATCGTGCGCTCTCAGTTATTTATCGTATCTAAGTGTGATAAGTAAACGGAGTCAGGGAACCGCTCTTGCTTTTTACAAAACGAAATAGTCGTAGACTGAAAACATCCAAATTGAGGTAGCACTGGCACGGCAACTCTACTAGAAAATCGAGACGCTGTAAAACGTTGTTATGTTGGTACCACTAGAAGAACCAACCAGCTCATTGGCTGTTGGCAATTGCAATGCCATAGTTCCAAATTACTACTCCCCTAGTAAATATGGCGGCCAACGTCTTCTCAATTCTCGCATTCAGTGCTACTTTCGGTTGTAGCTTGTAGCTCTAGTTCAGTGTGAGCAGCTATTGCCGCCACTATTGCGCAACTATCGCAATAAGTATTTGTCTGTGTTCGTGTGTTCGTGTGTGTGTGTGTGTGTGTGTGTGTGTCTGTATTCACCGAATAGTGGCATCCTTCACAGGCACGTGGCCGTACTGTGGCACCTTCAAAAATTGTGGCACCTTTTTCAGGGTGCCACAGCTAATTCGATCATTTTTTGGGTTTTCCAGCATTAATACGTCGTTTAAACATCACATGCCACAATTGAGTATTTTTGAGCTCGTTGGTGTGAGTTTAAGTAGCGCAGGTACACGCCGAATTGTGGAACACGAAACCATACCGGTAGCTAGCGCGCCTCGCGCCGTCCGCTGGAACTATAACTTCCCTAATGCTATGTTGCCAATTCTCGCGCCAGCCTACACTCTAAATAGTGGCACCATGCCACAATTCAGTATATATCAACAGTGTGTGGACAGGATGCCACTTAATGAGTTGTAGCGCTTGAGCAGTGTGTAGAACAGTGCAACAAGCAACTAATTTAAACTAATAATACTGTACTGCCACGTACTATAAAACAATTTAAGTACCATAAATAATATACTTTTGCTCCGAGTGGTGAACAATGTTTTACATTACAAATATTTTGTGTAGTAAATAAATATTTAAATTGATTTTATGACACCATTAAAAAAATTATTTTTGTTTACAAACATAAATTGGTAACGTAGTTATTTTGTATCGATTGAATTTTTACATTGAAACAATAACAATGTTTTAGGTTAGAACACTATATAAGTTGTCCTTCTTTTAATTCTTCCGTCTTCTAATTTTTTATCTTACAAACTATTTCGTGCTGATACATCTATTTTATTAACATTCTAGTCATGTGGACAAAATATTTTAAAATTACATTTCTGATTCACTCAGTAAAGGTAAATTTCGATGCATCATTGCTGAAAGTTATGTTTTGCTTCTCATTCTCAGAGTATTCCAAAGACATCTAATGTTTCAACCCATGTTCAAATGTTATATGAGGTAAACACATAACCGAATCAATTAAAGTACTTGAATTAAAATACATATTATCAACACGCATAAACTAGTTCAGATTATATATCATCTCACAATCATATTTGCATACTACTGTGGTGTTTTAACCAGTCCCCACTAACAAAAGCATAAAATGAAAGGTCCTAAAGACGTTAATATTGAGTCATAACAAGAGTGGTTTAAAAGTTGTAACCGTGATACTGTAAATAATTTGATATTGTTTGATATTATACAATCGTTTTACAATTTTGTCAATCTATCTGTTACTTTAAATACAAATGTATTCTTATCATTCAATGTTTTGTTTTGTAGGACCTTTAGTATTCTAAACTTTATTAATAATAAACCTATTTTAACATACAATATCAATTTTAGGAAATTCCTAGTATGGTTGGAAATATATTGGCATCCGTGAAGTTTGTGTAATGTTTTTTAAAAACACAATATGTTATATTTAACTTCACTTGTTATTTATTTAATATATTTCTACTTCTTGAAATTCTCAGTTAACTGGGAGGCGGAGCAAACAGTTTGTTCTTAAATGAACTTGAAAATTCTAAACAACCTTTTTTCTGTTGGTTTACTTAAAGTCTATAATGTTCTACTATGAATGCAAATCTATAATATAGTGAAAATTTCCAGTCCCACCCTCAAAAACTATGATATTTAACAGTTGAATTCTTATAACGTATCAACACATTATTTTTAATTGGTCACCAAACTGATTCTTGAATTTTTGAATTAGTAGTTGCAAGAGTACGCAAAACTGCAGAGAGTCCTTGAAAATGCTTGTGCAATGATATAGTTTTAAATTATAAAAGAAACCCTTCACAAAATTGTATTTACAGGACCAGAGGCCCAATATGCACATGGTATTTCATTTGTAGGAGGCAAAAAAATTCAAATCATATTAATTTATGATTGCCAATAGATTTTGAGTTTCCGTAAAAACAATTATATAAAACTGTCTGCAAATGTCGATAAAACTAATTTTATAAGAAATGGTAGATTCTTCTGTTGCTCTGTAGGCGACTATTTTGGTCACACAAGGAAGTCCAAACTTATATTAGTTTGAACAACGTCATCTTGATTTTACATTGTACCAAGATACATAATCGACACATAGGCTTACTATGTGTCTTATTACTTACTATGAT